GATGGTTGTAAAATAGCTATGAAGTTTGACTCTGGGAGGAAAAAGTGGAGAATGTTTTATAGGTTGCTTTTACTGCAGGAATTTTTGTCACTGCAATTTTACGACTTTTTACACATCTTTTTTGTACATCTTTGCCTGAGAGACAAATAAATGTACAGGGTGATGTTTCCGTCTTACCTTTAAAGATGGGACAAATCTTCCAGACGCCTGCTGCTCCCTCTCTGTTGTACTGCCCAAGAGCCAGTTCCATGTAGAAAAGAGGCATCCCTGCTATCACCATAAAGAACAGGTACGGGACCAGGAAGGCTCCTGAATAAAACAATAAATAAATGTGCATTTATTTACTTTATTTACTTATATAAACAAAGCACAGTCATGGAATGGCATTGAAGACATCTAATTATATCTCACACACACACATCAAATCCAAACACTGTGATGAAAGAGTGCTGTCTGCACCTAAATATATCACAATACAAAGAGTTTATAAAGTTTGTTATTCAACTGATGCTTGTATAATAAATGTATGTGTGTCTTGACAATTTAGAAAGCACACAAGAATCTCACAAACTCTCAAAAAGCTTAAAAAACAACAACATTAAAGTAATGTTAGGCTATTTTCTTAGTAGACACAAAATAGAGTATTAGAAAAAATACTCTATTAAAAATGCTAATATGATCTGGTGTAAGGTATTGTGCAAAAACTTACAACTGCAGAAATGTATTATTATACTCAAATGAACCCAACCAATTTGTTTTGCAGCAGCTCATAAATATTGCAATTAAGGTTCTATCAAATAGGGTAATATTACATCAATATCATGACACATGACAAAGAAAAATGTCATATTTTGACAACATACAACATAGCTGAGACTTGAATACATGATTTGTACTAATTTATAAGAAAATGTATTTTTTTTGTCTATTTAGTTGACAGTAAACTGATGCCTGCAAAATGCCATATGTCCCATAGCCAAAGTATGGGACTAAATGCTTAAAATCTGAATATTATTTTTAAAAAGTGTTTTGTGTTTTTCTTATTTGGTCAGTTTGGTTCAAATCAAATATAACAGTATGTTTCTCAATGTGCAGGTAGGCTTTGGTAGATGCTATATGTCAGCCCTAAACAGGGCTAGAATACCATTTCATTTTTAGCCACAGCACCACGAACAGCCTCTAAGCATAATGACAGCTCTATGTTAAACAGCCATAATTAGTGACACTGATTGTTAGAGCTAATCTATGCAGAGCAGCTGTGCTGCTTTTCCTCCTAGTTTGATCTTGGCAAACGCTTGGATAATATATATATATATATATATATATATATATATATATATATATATATATATATATATATACACACACACACACACACACAAACACACACACCCATAGGACTTGTGCAAGGCAAAATAAATAATACAACTCTGCATCTCTAACACCAAAGGCAGCCTTTAGCCCTTTTCTCCTCACCTCCTCCGTTTTTGTAGCAAAGGTAGGGAAATCTCCAGACGTTCGCAAGATCCACGGCAAATCCGATCACAGACAGGAGGAAGTCAATTTTCTTCCCCCAGGTCTCTCTTTCCTTCTCCCCAGAGGGATTAGTCTGGGCCGGAGCTACTAAGTTGGTGGAGGTGAACTGGACCCCGTTCTGCTCCTTTACAAGGATCAGCTCCACCTGAGGGACCAGGCTTTGTCATAAGTTTACATTTTACTACATAATAATAATAATAATAATAATAATAATAATAATAATAATAATAATAATATGAAGTAGATTTTTCAAAAAGTGAGCAAAGAAACAGCTCTGAAACATTTCCCCCCATTCTTCCTGGTGTGCACTTTTCAAATGCAACATCTCTATGTTCAATGTCGATCTACGAGAGTCTAGATTATGCAGACGTTCACTGACACATGGAAATGTGTTTGCGTTTGCTGAACCAGTTTCAATCTCCTCCCTGGATTTCCCACGCATAACAGATGGTGCCTCTCACCTCCAGCACATGCACCAGGCAAAGGTTTTAGTCATTTCACCCGCATCTTACAAACATTGTTACAGACTAAAAATAAAATAAAATTAAATTAAATACCAGGAATTAATGAATAAATCTTTGAAAATATATCAGCACTTTCAAAAAATATTTCTCATTTACCCTTATTAAAACTATCCCTCACTTATGTCCTTACCTCTTTGGGACCCATGGCGTTCGGAGAGGATTTTTCTGATGCTGCAAGAGAGGACATCACTTCAGCTGTGAGGGGCCAGTAGGAAGAGCAAAAGGAAGTATAGGTGTAGCTGATGAGTCTTGAACGCAGAATGACACAGAAAATACACACGCACACACACAAAAAAAAGAGATTAATTATTCCTTTTACAAGAAATCAGGTTAATGATACCAACTTAGACAGCTTCCCCTGAGACGCAGCACACTGCTGCCGTCAAGTCACAATAAACGAAATTGACAGATGAGCGTTTCGCTGGTTTGAGATAACATCACGTCTAAATATGAATGTTAGTAACATTCCCAACATTTAAAGTCACCTGTAGGTAAATCCATAGCACTAATCCAACATATGATGTGAATAGAGGATGGAGAGAAACAACATGCACTGAAGGGGTCTGCACTGAGAGTGACAAGAGGACATAGAGGAGCTGTTTGAAAAGGTTATCATTTCATGATGGCCATTTTGTACACAGGTCTGGACCACAGTCTCTCAGCATGATGTTTACCAGAAATATGGCAACATACAGTATGTTTTTTTTGTTGTAAAAAAAAAAAAAAAAGGAATAAATCAGGCATCAAGATGTTTTCAACTAGTGTTTTCAAAAATGAAATCTGCTTTTTAAAATGCCCTATGTGATTTTACTTGAAGTTTTATCAATTAGAATTTGTCAAAATTGCAAAATACAGTGCGGCGTACCTGAACTTTTCTTTCAAAACTATGTTGATTACAGCTGCATGTTATAACCAAAAGACAAAGCACATTTTCAAACAAATAACTTCACTTAAGAAAATCACTTACCTTCTTCAGAAATGACAAAATCTCCACCAGTTGCCAAACTTGGATGATTTAAATCCAGTGTTTATGCTAGTCAGTCTGGTGCAGGTTGATGATGGTGACCATCTTTGTGTAGACCTTCTCAGATAAGTTAGACCAAGGATTTCAAAATTTAAGCAAAAACATGAATCAACATTGGCTGAAAGAAATGCGAAGAGGATTAAGACAGAAAATATATATATATATACATATATATATGTATATACATATATATATGTATATATATATATATATATATATATATATATATATATATATATATATATATATATATATATACACACAAAAAAAAAGAAAAAAAAAAAAACAATGACAGGAACTGGCAATCTGATGAGCTGTGGAAATACCTCCCACCCTCCTGGTCTCTGGTGGCAAGACACAGAGATCAGAGCGCCCTGTGGTCTTATATGGAGATCTGTCTGCGGGACCTCTCTTGAAATATGAGGAACAATCAACAACACTCCCCCATCACCGTCACTCTCCTCCCTCCCTCTGCCCTCACATGAGCTTCATTCGTTTCCTGCTGCTCTCTCACCCATCACTGCATTTTCTTACCTGATGTGAGCGTTTACTCGTCTCTTATCCGCGTTACGTACAGCCGTCTGGTAAAAGCTATAAGACTTGTGTGCAGACATTCACGCAAGACTTCGACGCAAGTGTCCGTGAGGATCGCGGTTCATTCGTTTTTGGCCTAACGGGAGGAAGAGCAAAACTCAAGTCAGGGGGCTTGAAGCAGTGCTGGGATTTAGTCACCTCTGACTCAAGGCACACCCCTGGTTTCACAGTGGAAGGGATTTAAGCCAACAGGAGCCAAGTTGATGTAAATGCCTTCAAAAACTTAATTGAGTTAAGAAGTTAGTTTCACTAAGTGAAACTCTTATTCCGTAGAGTTGTCACACACACAGATATATGTGCTGTTTCTTTTCATTTTGACGAGTATCGCAACTAATAAAAACCCCAAATTCTGTTGAAATGTTAGATAAAAGGTAAGAAAAGCTTGGCAAAGCAATTTTATATGCATAACACATTTTCGACATTAAGGCCATTTACATTGCTTCATATGATCAGGAGGAAAATAGAACAAATGAGCAAAAACAAACATTACTTTGCAGTGGCAAATAAAGGGAAAACAATGGAAGACAGTATACACTTTGTGATGTTCTAGTTATTATGAATAGAAAGCAACTCTAAACAAATGGGGTTGTAGCCTTGATTTAATGCCTGATGTTTACAGTATATACTGAAGTGATGTCAGATAATTGTGTATTTTTACGTCCTTCAGGTCCGTGGACCTGCTGAAAAACAGCAGGTATCCTGAAGCAGCCCAGATTTCTTTTAATCTTTTATAAATAAACAAACGGTGTTTCTGCATTTTTGTAGTTTTCTAGAAGTTTTCAAAAGTATTTTTGAATCAAATTAAAAGTTTGTCCCAGAGTAGTTGAGCATAAAAACGGGATGCTGCTGCTCCACGTTTGGTTTCGATTCTGGTTAATGCAGGCTGGATTTGAAGGGACGAGTGGCCTGGAGGGTTGATAGAATGGAAAGAAATGTTTGATGTGTTTCGGTGACAAATCACCCAGTAAATTATAAACCAAAAATAATATTTTAAACTCCATTCTCCGAGCTACTGTGGGAATTGAGACTGTCCGCATTGCTTGGACTGATTTTTCTTGTCTTCCTGTTGGCAGTACTCTTTGCAGGGGTTTAGAGTCTGCTAGCAAATCAGATACATTTATATTAAGGTAACTAAACCTTATATTGGCACTTTTGGCTGTGTGGACAGGTGCCAAATACAGTTTGTTAGTAGATGGAAGTACGAACAAATGGCTGAGCTGAGTGTGGACCAGCCCCAACAAATGTAGGTGAGATGATAAGATAATTTCCTGAGAAATTCAACTAATTATTAACATGAACGGGAAAAAAAAAATAAATAAAATAAAATCTTGACTCTTTTCATTTTCTATAATGAATTCAAGCTTCACTTTAAATTAAATCACTGAAATAACTTTCTGAGTTGTATTTCATTTCATATTCTTGAATGGCTGAATGTAGTGTTAACCACACTGAGGTCTTGTGTCTTCAAAAAGGTTTGTGTTGAAGAAGTTCATCATCTCAATACTCAGAACAAATAAGAGCTTTTTTTTTTAAATTTTACTCTGCACATTTAAGCAACGGAAAAAGTAACTGTCAACATAACGCCACCTGCAATAAAAACCATTTCCCCTTTTTGCCTTGGTCTCCACTTCCTCCAACTCAGTGACCAACCAACATGCCTTGCAGGACCATAAATCTCATTATGTGTCATGTTCAGCGGCTTAAACACAATAATTCCCAACATCCAGGCCTCTCCCGTTTCCAGCTCAACCAAAACAGGATCAGGACATCAAATAACGCAATCAGCTCTCGCGCCACGGACAGATTTACGACCCGCCGTATCCGCGACGACAGTTTCTTGTATGCAAGCCAATCAGGTTGATCAATTGGCCACTAATCCCTAAATCTGCTGCCTCCACAATGTGCGCACCTTCAAAGTGCAACCATCAATCAATCCTCAGGCCTCATAGCAGAAATTGTTGGGTCAATGCAAGTCGTGCTGGAAATATGAGATTTCGAGTGGAGCTTCGACAAACAACAAGTCGCACATAATCGAGTGTCTTGTTTTCATAAATGCAACAGCTGAGACCCAGCGAGAAAGAGGGGAAGAGCAAGAGCAAGGAGGGAGCAGAAGAGGTGAAGACGAATGAAGTGGAAAGGTGAGACGGGTGAGGATGCGTAGCTAGGAATGAAAGGAAAACACATGGATTAAATCATTCTGTCTTTCAGCGACACACCCTTCATGTTCTTTTTCTCCCTGTTCATATTTTTGTTCCGCTTCAAAAAACAGTCCAGAACATTCCTTTTTTCTGACTAGTGTCTGGTCTTACAACAAAAGAACACAAAAGGAACAAAAGATTAGCAAGGACAATTGTGCATATCTCATGGCTACCACTTATTTAAGACTATTAAAACGTTGCTCCTCAAGCCAAGAACACAAAAGGAACAAAAGATTAGCAAGGACAATTGTGCATATCTCATGGCTACCACTTATTTAAGACTATTAAAACGTTGCTCCTCAAGCCCAGACAACCATGTCAGATACAGCAAAAACACACTGCAGGTCTCATTTCACGATTCAGTTTTAGACTGCATGAACTCATATCAAATATTATCCTAAAGCACTTTACAGGTCAAACAACCTTGGTTCATTTAAAAATCCTTATGCTCAAAATCAGATTTTTGCTTACTGACAAACATTAAACATGAAATAAAACATAAAAAATAAAAAAAAGCACAAGGATGCAGACTAATAAAGTAGTTCTGCTTCAGAAATCACCAAAAAAAGGGGGGGGGGGATGAAAGGAGGCAATGAATTAAAAAAAATTAAAAAAGACATTTGCAAATTTTCTGATAAAAATCATCTGAAAAACAATACTTGTGTTTATTTTCCTGCCTCACTACAGCCCATAATAGATATTTGATGTACCTGTATTTTAACATTTGTCGCAATACAACAAACGTCCCAATGATTATCTTTCTTTTTTTTCCCCACAATCCTCATTTGGGATTTTATAGTAAAAGTGGAAAATAACAGCAAAACATGGCAACTGAAGTAATCCAGTTTTAATGTGCAAAGGCTCTGGGTGTGTTGTAAAAAGTGAAAAAGCAGATTTTAAAGTAGATGAATTGTCTAGAAAGTCCCTCCATTATTTACACCTTCAAGAAAGGGAAAAACTTAAGTCAATAGCATAAAGATAGTGCCTTCAAAACAAAAATGAACAGCAGTTCATTATGTCCTCACAAGAGGGAGACATTAAACAACTGTCGAGTATTTTACTTTTCCTTAAACTACATTGGTTCAAATGAGCATTTCAGATTTTTCTTGATAGAATGAAACAGAAAAAAAGACATCACAAAATACTTTCAATTAATAAATTATGCTAGCATATTTGTAAATGTTTTGTTTGCACTCCTAATTCTTAGACTGTGCAGCACCTTTACATAGAACACCACTTTCATGCATTTATTTAGGCAGAGATAATGTTCTAATAATGACAGACACAGCTGCATATTAACACTTTGTCTTTAATTTCATCCAAGAGTCACATTGACAAGTTACATAATAGCCATCATGAACAGATTCAAAATAGCTTTTTTGTTATGACTCTTTAGCATCAAAATGCAGTAATAAAATAAAACTTGTTTGATATAGAAAAAGACTGGAAATAAAACTAGACGAAGAAAAAAAAAAACTCAAAATATTTCAGGTGATTCACTTACAATAAGCCATCAGAAAGACAATATCACTCTGTAAGAGTACACCGGTCCTTCGTCTTAGGCTCACTGCAGAACAAACTGTGACAGGCAGCAATAGCATAAATACAAGTTTGTCTCTTGCAGGTTTTACATTTTCCTCACATGAAGATTTCATGTTTGAAAAAAAATAAAAAAAGATAAATCTCTACTGAGATATTTATAAGAAGGGAAACTAAATGAAAACAAATGTATATTCATTCAACCCCAACGCATTACTCCTTTTAAGTACCAAAAAAAAAAAAAAAAAAAAAAGTTTAGTTTTGAATATCTGAGGGCATATAATCATATATTCTGTATAAATCAAACAAAACAGCATATTCCTTCTGGGACAAAAAAAAAAAAAAACTTTGAGAATTTGTTCTGTTTTAATGTATTTCACTGATTTTCAGCTTGTATACCAATACAATAACATCTTTCTAAAATGCAGCATCTGTATTAATAGAAGAGTTATTTTAAATTGGAAACATTTAATACTTTTCTAATCCATGGTGTAAACATAGTCAAGTCCTTCAAATCTTTTTTCTGACTGCCAACTCCCATGAGTTTACGCAATTATTTTAGGCGCCTAATTTCCACAATCTTGACAAAGAACAGTAGGATGAGCTAGGGGAAGAACTTCAACTGTACTAAATAAAATCCTCAACTTTCTCTGTGCTCCCTTTACAAAAGAAAGAAGTTAACGGTGAATTGAAATACTGTAGACTATGACCCTACTGCGCTTCAGAGCTTTCTGACCTTATCTTTACAAAAATAAAAGCACTGTAAAGTGCAAGCACAAATCCATACAATTCTGTAAAAAAACAAAACAAAAAAAAAAAAACGTAACAGCAGGACAATGCTTTAAGATTGTCATAAATCATAGGAAACAATAGTTTGTATGTGTGTGCAGTCTGGAGTGTTTGTGTGACCCCGGCCCGTCATGTGGTGGCGCGTCACCTCAGGGCTCTATCACTCAATGCACTCGCACTTAGTTCAACCTGCACATCTCAAACAAACAAAAAAAACTAAAAGCAAATTCTGGAAAACCATGACGTCTTAGGAAAATGTCCACTGGAGATCAGCACTATTGAGAGCTTCTGATTGTGACAAGATTGTCTGTACATTCTCTTTTTAGCATAAAAATTCTGTAGAGGCTATCAAGGCTATAGGTTTTCATATGAAATCTGCATTTTGTTCCTAAGCAGTCGACTCGGCGACACCAGTAATAATATAGCAATAAAATTTTACACTGTGCAGGAGCAATAAAAGCACAAAATAACTAAGATTATTTAAAAAGAAATAAAATAAAAGGAGAACAAAAAAAATGTGGCTCATTTGTCATGATCAATACAAACTGCAGAGCAGAGAAGATCACAGATCTTTGTCATGGCAGTGAAAAGAATAATCATTCACATACGTATATCAAAAATTCACAAAATGTCCCGCATCTGGAATATTCAAAATACATATTGGAACTTTTAAAAAGCATTCATTTGGAGAAGGCTAAACATACGAGGAATATTGCTTTACTCAAAGTCGGAAAGGAGGATATATAAAGGATACAACGAAATAGAAACGTGACAAATTTACAGAGTTTTGGAAATGATGGTGAATACAGACGGCAAAGTGAATCACTTGATTCTCTCAGGGGAGGAATTCCCTTTAAATATGATCATTTATGATTTATGGCAGAATGTAAAGAAGGGTAAAGCTTAAGAGAAGTAGAAACACAAGTTGCTACACTGAGCGTTTCTATAGAACAAAGAAAACCGAATTTGTCAGAAAATGACTTAAAAAGTGAGCATCATTGGCATAATCTGAAGGAGGTAAACAAAGTTTGATAAAAATTTAGGTGGCAAGCTGTGTATATTTTACATTTTTTCATAAAATACCAGCATAATTGAAATTCAAACATTTGTTAATGTTACTAAGACAAACCTTCATTAAACCCATATTTAGATTTTAAGCCTAAAAAAAAAAAAAAAAAAAAAAAAACGCAAAAACGTAGGGGTGCACCGATTTATCGGCCAGCTGATTTACTGGTGCAGATTTCCTTAATTTTGAGAGACTGGTGATCGGCTGATACTTTCATGTGAAGTCAATCTCATCCACCAATTTTATCAACCTCAGCAAAGGTCTAAAAATCAGCCACTGCCCTCTTCTGCTCTGCAGTGAGGTCGGTTTGACTGAGACAAGTATGCACCGTCTCCAACTTAGGGTCTTTCTTGCTATATTTAGCAACATTTCTGACAAAAAAAAAAAAAAATTGGTATCAATCAAAATCGGATTCTGCAGGCCAGGCTTTTTAAAGATTGGGAATCGGCCAAAACACTGCAATCAATGCACCCCTACAAAAATGACTACCTAATCTTAGAGATCATCTCGACAACTTCCTTAAATTTGTAATGAAAAAAAACAAAAAACAATCTGAAATCTTCCTTCTTTTTAGTTTAAATTTTAAAAGTAGCTCCCCTTTACATCTGGTTAATTCTGAATATATTTCATACATGTACAGGACTCACAGGAGTACGGAGTCTCTCAAACTAAACCCTGCTCACTGACGCATTTTATCACGACTGTTTGCTCAACCTGTAAGTACATTTTCAGAATGAGGTTTAAATGCTAACAGACGGGGGGCTCTTCTTTATTGTGGTCACAGGTACAAGTTCTCGGATCCACCTTACAGCATAATGAAAATATCTCCTTTTGTGAAGATCAGAAACAAGGTGGATATTTCTGGTAGGTTAAATATTTCAACATTGACTGGAAATAAAAAAAAAAATGTACAAGAACTCAGAAAATTGTAACTGTGTCAATAAGTGGCTCTAACGTTTTCTTTTAATGTAACACTGAGAAGAAAGTACCAAAAATTCTGGTGATTGTTTGCTTTCACTGGTCTCATGCCATAATTTAATCCCTTTTAACCGGTTACAAGACTGGGTAGGCATGTGGCGGTTACTGGTATCAAGATATACCAATGCTTAAAATATTATGGCTTCGTAATGAGAAAGAAAAAATCTCTTAGCATTCAAACTTGTTTTAATTAGCCATAACTTCCTCCAGCTTTGTGGGGCAGGGAGAGTAATGCAGTGCTGCCTCTCCTCAAAATGCTTTGACAACAAAAAAACTATTTGAAGAGTTATTTTTTTTTAATTTTTAACTTTTTAATATGGTGATACAGTGAAAGCGAGGTCGCGTTGGTATATTTTGAGACTCTCATACCGGCCCATGCCTACATGAAAGGCAAACAAAAACACACACACACAAAAAAAAGGCGTTTCATTTTTTTCACCCAATGCATTTTGGTCCAAGTTGTGTATTATCAAATGAAACAAAACACTGAAATAACCAAAACTGTATGAAACTATGAAGCGACAAGGACAAGAGATCAGTTGCGAAGAACAGTTTACATGCATGTAACCTACAAATGGTCAAAAACCATGACATCATTGTTAATTTTTCCATTTTTGTCACTGAACCCTGAGCTAAATCATATCACTGTGTTTACACACACATTCACAGGCACGCGCTCGCGCACACACACACACACAAACACTCGTAGCAGTTATAATTGTCGAAGTTCAGAGACCCGAGATCACCTCAAATACGGCTGCAGAAGCTTCGTGCTTCCAGCCGTTCCTCACCGGTTCCCCCGGGCCTTCCTTCTCCACAGACATAACAGGAGCCCATTTATTCTGCATTTTCATTTAAAAGTTCAAAAGGCAGCTACCATTAAAAGGAGGAAATGGATAAAACATTACAAGAACAAAACAAAAATAGATTTCACAAAAAGTTGTGTTATCTTTGCAATCCAGAGATTGTTTGAGTCTCGGTAAATTTGTGTTAAAAACATGCAGGGGAGAACGAGTAAAAATAAATTAAAATTGACTCCCAAGAATCCTAATAAGTGCTTGCCCTTCAAGTATTTAAGCATTGTATCCCAAAAAAAGCCAGTATTTGGCATTACGACAATTCTTCCTAAGGGGAGGGGGGGGGGAGAGGTTGTTTACAGGCTGAAATGAAAAGAACCTCATGGATAAAACACCAATAAGAAAGGGTAAACTTCATTTTATGTTTGTGTTTAATGAAATGTTGTCCCTTACTGTGTGAAAAAGTTACTACAAGGTAACCAATATTGCCCCTTACAGAATTCCCTCTCACCAGGAGAGGCCCTGCTCCCTCTACTCTATCAGTTGTGTTTCTTTATGAGTGCATCTACTGAGCTGTCATGGTCTTTAGGGCTGAAGTCGGGACAGATACCATTGGCTGTTTTGCTGTTGGCAGTGCCTTGCAGGTTTATAGTTGATGGGCTGGTCTGGGTGTGGGGTTCCTGACTAGGTCCACTCTGAGGACCTACACTTTCAGTGTGAAGATAGTCATCAGCAAAGTCTGGGTTCTCCTCCACAAACCCTCGGAACTTATCTGAAAAGACCACAAGGGGGAGCCAGAGACAAAGACAACGTTACAAGCTGGCTGGACTGTAGATGTTTTAGACTGTGAAAAGAAGCCCATGCCCACTTTGACTGGAAAGTTTATAACAGAGAAGAGCGTTGAAGTGTTTGGAGGATCGCTTTACCAAATGTAATCTTCCCCGTGTCATCGACGTCGATGGCCGTAAACAGACGGGACACGTTGAGGTGAGTCACTCCTAAAGCCGTCTTCAGCACAACTGCCAGCTCGCTCTCTGTGATGACGCTGTCTTCCTCTGCCTCAAACATCTGCAAAAAGAGGAAATGGGTATCAAACAGTTCATTTAAAAGATTGTGAAAATGCATAAGTCTACTTGGTTCTGATGCACATTCACATTTCATTTCTATGAAACAGAGCTCTGAACAGCTGCACAATGAACCTGGAAAGTAATGTTTAATAAACTGACAGCTTGCACAGAGAAACAACAGCAACAACAAAAAAAAAAAAAACCAACAAAAAAAAAACAAAACATCATACTACTTCAACACGCAAATCACCAAGTAGCACTTGAATATAACTAAGCTCAGGCCAAGTCAACAAACACAGTGCGTCATTCTGTCTGGCGACAAGATCAGTACACAGTTTGATCTTGTTCTATTTGTCTTAAATCCATTTTTTTCCCCAAATAAGTAACTAAGCATAGATAGAAGCAAAACCTACCTTGAAAGCCAATTTCATTGTTTCCAGAGTTTTGGCAGGTCTGCATACGACGGATAAGGCTATCACATATTCTCTAATGTCCATGCTGTTATCTTCATACTGTAAAAAAAGAATGAAAATGAGTACGAAAAAAAGAAGTTTGCTGCCACCAAAAAAAGTAGGCAAAAATATTTTCGGCCCCATCACCATCAGCAGCCTTATTGATCATAAGTAAATGAAACAAAAGGATAAATTAAATTTACAATGGAAGTTGCTGAAACAGCGTTTTCTAAATTAAATTAATTTATTACACTCTGCAAAATCCTGCATGAGATCACAAGAGTAACATTACATGAGGTTTAATTTTTGAAGAAAAAAGTGGGCTTTTTTAAAAAAAAAAAAAAAAGGTCATCTTGCTACCTGGTTTCACAAAGTGACAAACTTTCCCATCAGTTTTCTACACCCAGCACCTCTACCAGCATATCCCAAGATCAAATTTCCAGGATTAGGATTCATCACAGTGAAGTTGTCTCTAAAGGATTTTTTTCTTTCAAACATATATTGGGAATCAAAGACCAGAAATTGATTAAAAACCCTTGGTAAAGAGCTTGGGAGGATTTTCTGCAGCATTCTGACTCCTAGAAGAACAAAATCCTGAGAAACTATTAATGCACGTCTATACGAAAAATTAATCTTTTGAAATGCAAAGTGTTGCCATAGCAATATGTTTCCTAAGAAGGTATAGACGGTTGAATAAATGCATAGTGTGAGATATTGTATTTTGTTTTTTAATGTGTACAGATACACTAACCACAAAGTTATGAGCACATAGAGGACTGTTTGATAATTACAAATCTATTTATTTTACCCATCTTCCTGTACTGCAAAACAATATTCTTTGTCAACTACATTGACCCACAAGTACATCGTTTTTTTTTTTTTTCTTTTTGTTTTTCACAAAACGCATACTTTATCGAACCGTAAGGTCTTTACCTCATCAAAAAGAGCAAACATGTCGCGCAGCATATCTGAAACTGGGACATCAAGGAAGTGAGCAAAGTCTTCCAAGGCAAGTTTCTGCCCTTCCAGCTTTCTGGCTCTGTTCCCGTATTCCTGCAACACCTTCTCGGTGTTCTGGGGCTTCAGCCTGCGACAGCATGGGAGGAAACTCTTGTTTAGGATCTGTAAACTATTATGCATCATGTGAGCAAGAAAACATTTTCTAATTATTTAAAAAGAGAAAAAAAGGATAACTGATGCATTGAGAAAGGATCATTTTCTCTCAACTGGAAGGACAATGTTGGTTGACGTTTAGAGTTGATAACCTCACTAAATTTTACAAAACTTTTTAAAAGAAGAAGTTCAGTCAAATCTCCAGTAGCTAAAGAGGAACTGGAACTCTTTTCCGGTAGCTGCTTGTCACAAAGAGCACCAATCCACTGCATACAGTTAACTGGTGCATCTTACAACATCAAGAATCTATCCTAAACAAAAATCAGACAATGACGTTTGAGTACGCAACACTTGTTTACAATACTGCGGCCAAAAAAATAAATAAAAAAATCCCTGCTGATTTCCTACTGTCATTTTCTTCGTCTCCCATTCATGCCCTTTACTTAGTTCTCTTTAATGAGTGCTGTGCATTGGAAAACTTGACTCACCCCAGTCTCCTGACAAGCTTGGCAAACTCCAACAGACAGGTGTCGACCGGCAGCCTCAGCTGGCCCTCTGCCATCGCCAGCTGGCAGTCTTCAAATGAATAATCTGTGATAGGTACCCCCAGGGCTCTGAGCGCACCAGAGATGACGGGACAAATCAATACTTTGCTTTAGGTGTATGTTCTTATTATGGAAAAGATTTATGCTTTCATCTCAAACGTATGAAACTTTTAGTGATCACAGATCAAATCCTTATGATTAGATACAGGGATTTTACAAATCTGTGGCCATCTGAGCTTCCTTTCTGTTACTTGTGGTGATGTGCATATCAAACTGCAGAGTACAGGACAGTATCATTTCTCACATCTGCCAGAACAATCAATACATTTCACTTACTTGGCCATGACTCGTCTCACATTGACTGCAAAGAGAGCAGGATTCCTTTTCTCCTCCTCCGAAGGGGTGTAAATGGGAAGGAACTGCACAAAAATCAAAAGTAAAATGTGAGCATTTTAAAAGAAAAAGAAGTGTAAATTTAACAAAAAATTGAATGACAAAAGAACCTGGGGGCTTCTAAGGTCAAATTCTTGCTTTTAATGATTGACGAACATCAAGCAAGCCATCTTTGACAATGAGAGAAAAATGCACACATAATCATGGTTTCATACTTACCTCTATCACAAACTCATTGTGTAACTGGCAGAGAGTCAGCCACAAGATTTTAAACCTGAAAGGCAGAAAGATAGAAATCATAAGTGACCAATAAAGACACACACAGCAGTTTCTAAGACACCAACACTTTGTTTATTGTTGTGCAACATTCTGTCAAATGACTATCTGGCTGAGTGAGGCCAACTAACAAGTAATCACAGCATTTAACGCACCACAGGTCTAAGTTGTTATAATAATGCCAAGATGAAAACCATAAGCACTGGGTTTCTTTCTTTTACTCCTGCAAATGTCAATTTTATGACACCTAATTCCTAAATTAGGTTGCATTTGTTTTAGGTATATCAAAAACAACTTGCATTTTGAATGAATCCGAGACCAAATTAAATTTTGTTACACATTTATTTAATCGTTTACCTCCCCACAAAATGCTAATTTCTAACATTACTAGCACTCCATAGACCATATAATAATAATTAGTGTGTATATATACTGCTCAAAAAAATAAAGGGAACACTCAAATAACACATCCTAGATCTGAATGAATGAAA